TTGGTGAAAGGTGTTTCTTTAGCCAATTGTAAAGCCATGGGATGAGGAGGACTGGACCTTAGCAAGGCAGTAACTCAGGCAACACAAACCTGTATTTTGACCTACTCTACTTTTTAGAAATAGCAGGATCACTTCTGCTTAAAAGTTCTGCGTGTAATTCAGCTTGATGCATGTCAAGCATAGGAAATATCAAAGCAAGAAGTTAATCAGAGGAAGTTTTATTAAATAGATTCTGTAGTCAAAAGTGCTCGCTGACCTGACTCTGGTGAGTCTGACTGACTATTTAGTACAATCTTAAATGGAAATTACAAAGTACCTGATGGATACTCGTATCAGTCAATTTCAGCGAAAGCTGAATGTAAGTGCAGATATAAGAAAATTTATTTCCTTTAAGAAAAAGCATGTTCCCTTTAAAATGCATCTCTTCCATTTGCATGAAAACTCTTTGAAATTCTTTCTTTTGCTTATTCTTATGAAGTAAATTTTGCAATTATTTAACTCTTAAAACTCTTAAAATAATCCTTTAAGCTTAAACCATCACAATTTTAAACTAATGGGGTTTTTTGCTAAAACATTGATTTTAAGATTTTAAAATTAAGTATTGTTGCTACTTTTGCACAAAAAAAGAACTTTGACAGTTGTAGTATTTCTGTATCAAATCATTATAGTACCTGCTTTTACAGGTACAGTATTAGTACAGTATATTTAACTGTGTGGGTACAGCACATGTAACCATATACTAGAAGGTGATTCTTTATAGTGCAATTTATTTAAATACAGTTACTTTCCGAGGGTTTGCATGATTGTATTAGTATAGACTATAGCTTAGACACCAGCTGCATTTTACGTGTATAATTAATGTGTCATTTCTTTTCTTTCCATGATTTCTGAAAATTCAAAGAGGAAACTAAAGAGGTATTTCATTACATCATTTCTTTGTTTTCTTCCCACTTAAATTGTATTTTTTTAAAAACTTTCAAACTTACCTTGATTTTGTTTTATAGCAAGAAGGAGAAACTGAATACAAATTTGAATGGCAAAAAGTCGCCCCTAGAGAAAAGTAAGATGTCTGGATTTTATCCACTTTTTTTTTTCTTCTTTCTTACCTTTTGTATCCTTTCCCCTCCCTCCCTCCTTTTATTCTTTTTTTTTTTTTTCCTTCTGTTTTATGTTTGAGCAGGTCAGGTCACTTGTATAATCCTGTCATGCCCTGGCATTTAATAAGTAAAACCTGTAATTTTTATCTTGATCAGCTCCGTTTTTGTTTGAATTTTACATCTGTACTTTAAAATATGTTAAAACTCATGTTTACCAGAGGTATATCTCAGAAATGGATACACAGTTAACCATAGAAGGTGGCTTTGTATATGACGAAATAATGAAAATTGAAAAATAATGAATTGAGTATTTGTTTTCTTTTGTGTAACAGATATGCTAAGGATGATATGAATATCAGAGATCAGCCGTTTGGTATCCAGGCAAGTTACATAAATTTCACTCTGTGGATGTCTTGGGTATATTTCAAATATTATCTAACTGCAGAACATTCACATGGACTCTCTTAATTTTACCATCTCTTTCTCAGTGAGTTTAAAAGCTTCTCTTATGCCTAGCAACATAAACATTTCTGTAAATGTTAAGCTGCATTGTTAACGAAATTATGTCTTTTTTTTCCTTTTAGGTGCGGAATGTGAGATGTATTAAATGCCACAAGTGGGGTCATGTAAACACTGATCGAGAGTGCCCCTTATTTGGCCTTTCTGGAATTAACGCGAGTTCGGTCTCCACTGATGGCTCAGGTAGGCTGTGAATGTCTTTTAAAGGTGCTAGTTAGAAATTTTGGGGGAAATCATCATGTTTAATTTTTGAAGGTTTAAAATTATCGTATTTTAAAGAACTGATGAAATGGGGAGAAATGCTGCTTTATTCCGACTGTAGGATCCACAATTTCAAGTTAATTATTTCAAAAGACCTAATGTTCTAATTAGGTTCTAAGCACATTTAAAAAAAGATTCCGTAATGACTTGCTTTGATTCTGTCTGTGGCAGAAATTGAGAAGCCACAATGAGATTGTTTGTATCAGAATGACAATATTTGTGTCACCAAAAAAAATGCTAATGTAGTGGGTTGTCAAAGGCTGTCCCAGTTCAGATTCCAGCAAACTGATTGGAAAAACTGGAATATATCAGGATATCTTTGTTAATTGCTTGGAAAAAAAGGTGTTTGCGTTTTTTACATGCACAGTTGTGCTTGTATAAGTGAACAAGGGATTGAAACACAGATTTCCAAATGCCTGGTTTCCTTTCAGCCGGCTTCTTGTTACTTCCTGAACTACAGTTTTTTCCTCTGTTCGCTTTCCTGTTACTTGAAGCCACACAGTGTTTGGTATTAGATGAGGCTTAAAGAAGTTGGTATAAATACTCGAATAATTTTTCTGACTAGAGCCCTTTGTGTTCTGTCAGTTGACCCAAGTTTGTAACAATTTAATGTGCCACAATTTTAAGAATCTTCAAAGAAACACCTGGTAACGTGCAAGTCTTCAGCCTCACTGTAATGTGCTTTAAGGTCATGTGCAGTATTGCATATTCAGTTTTGCAAGGATGCCTTCACAGTTGCACGCTTCATAACATCTGGTTTTCTTCTGTATTTCCTCAGGTTATCTCTTTTGTGTAGTAGCTCTTAGTTTTATTACATATGTAGCCTACCATCAATCTTGCTTTTCAGGCTTAAGTCACCTAGATAGGTCATTTCTTTGGTATGAGGCCTGGAAGACTTAAATAGTGCTTTTATGCTCCTCTGCTTTTGGGCGCTGTCTGATGATTGTACCATTGTATTGGCCGTCCCACAGTTGGCATTCTCGGCCTTTCTATTCAGCAGGTTATAACAATGAATCGTTTTCTTGCCTCATTCTTACCTGAGTTGTGCTTAGAGCGTTTGGTGGTGGTAAAATTATACTGTGGAGCTCTAACGTGTCAGATATGCTTCTGCGTTGCAGAGCTCCCTCCCTCCCTCCCCTCCTCCCTGGTTCAAATGGCCTGGGTAAATTTTAGGAGTGTTTGGCTGGGAAGGTGGAAGCCACTCGTACGTGGAAACGGACTCCTCATTATTCATGACAGTGTAATATGGACACTTTGCAGTGTCAATGTAAGACCAACTGCTTGTTTTAAACTGAACTGAACTAACTGTCCGTGTGTAGGCAACCTCTGACTGCTGTGGGGGTTTCCTAGTTGGGGAGATGTTCTCTGGGTAGCTTTCCAAACCGTCTTTCTAAGCCTAAAGAGAGATGTAACAGATATGGTGAATTTTGCATGAGGTAAAGTGCTATAAAACTACTTAGATGTTCTCAGACTGTGCCAATGCCCTCTCGTTTTGAATTCTGGAACTTGGTACTCTATGCTAAGCATAGATTTTTATTTTTTTTTTAATAGGCTGGGGAAGGATCCTAGGGAGTAGGGGTAGGTGACGGATCAGGGTTTGTATATATAATTTGTAAGACACTGTTCTTGGATGTGAATAGTCAGCTGTAATGATACTGCTGCTTTTTCTTCCTTTCTTTCAGGGAAATTATGTAAAAACACTGTAGGTAAAGTTTAAAACAATTTTAAGTTCTCAATTTAATGGCAGATACAAGGCCTATAGGAAGTGGTAATATCGTTAATTAGATCATCATATAAAAGGTGGTCTGCTTTTTCTAACCTCAGGAATAGAATCCTTTCATCAACTTTTCTAAAACTTCAACAGATTTAATAACAAGCTAAATTACGCTCCTTTGACAGCTTCTAGGAATTCCATGTATGTAAATGAAGCACTACAGTTAAGGGAGAACACAAGTTACTGAATTTACTGGTTCTTCTAAGACTCAGAATTCATCCACGTGGCATTTTAAAACTCACGTCACACATTTCGAAAAAGCCCAATCCTGTGTTATCTGGGATGAGAGTAAGTAATTATCTTTGCATTGCTGGGAGTTCTATGGAGTTGTTACAGTACTGCAACTCTGCAGTTAGCTCTGTAAAATTAACCTACACTGAGGGTGTAACCACGTTTTCCAATTTCCTAACACGACACTGCAACATTAAAAAGAAAAATTCTATCATGATCTCATCAGCAACCCCCGACAACATCATCTTGTCTTGGCTGTTTCTCTTTGTTGCTCTGTGTTTCCTCTTACTACTTCTACGTAATGCTTTGCTACTAGCCCTAGTGCTGCTTGGGTAACCACCTCGAAGAACCTTCTGTTCTTCTGTACAGCACAACTCCTCAGGCTCTGTTTCTTCCTGCTTCTGTCAGTAATTGCACACGCTTCTAAGCTGCTTTTATGTCTCTAAACTAAATTCCTAATAATTTTCTGGTTATTTTATAGTACTGCAAAAATGTTCGTTGCCTTGCAGTTCTTATTTAAATTATCTAGAATTGCAGAAGATACCGTTTTGTAAGGGACAGAGACTTTTTATGATATCATCTTGTAATGAAACCTTTCTGTGTTTCATGAACTGATGATTAACTTTAAAAAGAAAAAAAAAAACACTAAAAAAACCCCAAAAGCCCCTGAATTGCTTCCCACCCAGCCTCACACTCACCCCACCTTGTGTCCTCTACCGTGTGCAAGAAAGGCTCAGCAATAACTAAAACATCCCTGGGTTGTCAATGCTGTTTTGGTCACAGACCCAAAATGTAGCCCCATGCAGCTGCTGTGAGGAAAGTCGCCTCTGTCCCATCCAAAGGCAATGCAAGCAGTGGTAGCTACAGTATCGCTAGCAAATCTTTATGCGTGTATAAAGGATTGACACTTACCTAATTGGAGGGACGTTTTAATCTTTCTTCCTGGTCAAAACCAAAAGCTTTTGACAGTAAATGAGGGTAAAAAAAACTGTTTTATTGGGATAACCAAGTTATTGAATTAAAAACAGCAAGAGCAGACATTCCTGAGCCTTCCCTTTCTTCCTCCAAAATACTGGGCCTTCAAAAGTCTTAGCTGAATGGTGAACTGAGTTTAATAAAAGCCACAGGGATTATGTGATTTGGTTTTGGTTTTGGTTTTTGTGGGTTTTTTTAAATGCCCAAATCTGTGAGTTGCAGTAGGATATAACTCCTTATTTGAATGAAAAAAAAGGTTAAGTAATGCAGAACCCAAATTCAAGACCACTTAGTACAAGTTCCGTTTGTATTCTGTTCTAATTTTTTCCTACTTCAGAAAGCCAGCAAACCAAAATGTCTTGTTTGGACTCATGCTATTTTTTCAGCCTCAGAGGAAATTATTATCTGAAATTCTTGGTGTGTTTCTCAGTGAGGAAGCAGAAGAGGTGTTGATGGCCTACGTACATATTTTTTCACATCATAAAATAACCACCAATATAGGCTTTTTCTTGCCCATAAATTCTATAAGCTCTTATTTCGGCAGAAGGATACTTGTCTTTTGAGTCTTACGTGAGGACTGCATTGTAATCTTCCTCCACGTAAACCGATTGGCAATTGCTGTTTTGGATTCAGTGTTTAATGTCTTGTGTGCAAAGACCAAGCATGGACTTGGGTTTACTCCGGTGGAAATGTTGTAGGACAAGAGCTTGTCTGTGGCACATAACCACGTTCTGTGAGACGAGGCTGCTGTCTTTCCAGATCTGACATACACTGCAGCACTCTAGCAAACAAAAAGAATTCCGATCAGTACCTTAACTGAGGCATGGTGGCTTGGTTATTTTGCTTCTGGGACCATTTTACTAATCTGGCTGGTAATTCATGCAAGAAAAAAAAATAATAATCTTACCATTAAAAAAGCGCCTATTGAATAATATCTCACCAGTGAATAGAGATTATTTTTGCAATAAGGCAATTTCAGTGGATGTGGCTATCATGGGATAATCACACCCCTGGGGTACAGCCTTGTCTGTAATCTCCCAGGAGTGTAATTATTTCATGATAACTGCACCCCCTGGTGCTGCATTATTTCCATTATGAAATTCTTAGTTTTAGATATAAAGTAACTTACTTTGATCACTGGAAACTGCAAAGTAGTGTTAGAATGTTCCAGCTGTGAGGCTTACAGAGACCAACTTATAAGATTTGCTTCTCCTTTACAAAGCTAAATTAGGCAATCAAAATGCTTCTTTGGGCTAAACTGTTTTACAGTGTTTTCTACTGATAAAATCCTAACTTTCAAAGTTCAGACAAGACTAAAATATCAGTTGTGGTTCTGACTTTATGTACCACTGTGTATATATGCATGTATAAACTATGTAATATTTACCAGAAAAAAAAAACAAAAAAACCCAACAGGTCACTGCATCTAAAACTTGACCTATATTTGCAACCTTTTTTTTTTTTTTACTATTAGCCAGCAGCATCTGTTGAGTTTTGTCAGAGCAGAGTCCAGTAGGTTTTCTGAGCAAAATGTTTTGAAGTAATACTGTTACTTTGCTTCAAAATTGCCTGCAACTTTCTTGGTTAGGTAAAGTTAATCATAGAATCATGGAATTGTCAGGGTTGGAAGGGACCTTAAAGATCATCTAGTTCCAAACCCCGCTGTGGGCAGGAACATCCCCGACTAGATCAGGCTGCCCAGAGCCCCATCCAGCCTGGCCTTAAAAACTTCCAGGGATGGGGCGTCCACCACCTCTCTGGGCAACTTGTGCCAGTATCTCACCACCCTCATGGTGAAGAACTTCTTCCTAACGTCCAGTCTGAACCGCTAGATTTAATCCATTCCCTCTAGCCCTATCACTACCCAACATCCTAAAAAAACTCTCACCAGCTTTCTTGTAGCCCCCTTGAGATACTGGAAGGCCACAATAAGGTCTCCTCG